CTATTCTGTGAAGCGCTTTGAGATGTCGAGAAGACGTGAAAAGCGCTATATCAAATGCAAGGATTGTTATTATTATAATTTTGTTTTTGTTGTAAGTCTCCATTTGTCCCATAGGTAAACTGCACATCAGACAGGAAGGAAAGCTTTGGTTCTAACATTGCCCTTTAAAAAGCCACAGTTTGCTAGTGATGTTTGTGCAGTTTTGCCAACAATTTTCATATAGTCTTGTTTAATAACGTTTTTATTAGTAGTTAATAGCAGCACCTGGTGTACACTAAATTAAACAGACTAAAGGCTACAGGTTCAATCTCTGGTTTGTGCCTAGTCAGCTGATCTCAGCCAGGGCAGCAGTTGGGCAAACTACAATTGGCCTTGGGCTGGGAAAGGGATAAATCAGCCAGGTGTTGCTGCTATTAATTACTATGTAGTGACCCGCACTGAAATATATGTTTGTGTGGACACTGGATGAGAACCAGATCAGGCTCACCTCCCATGCCCTCATGGCCCATTAACCTCCTGAAACTGTGTAAGGCTTACATATGAGGGAGAGAACAATGAGTGAATATTTATACTTATGTGAGGTAGTGGAAGGTTCTCTGCAAAATCAAATCCCAATTTAGAGTCACCATCATCAACAACACCGACTTGGTCTTATAATGGTGTCAGCTTGGCTCAGTTGGTAGCATTTTTGCATCTGTATCTGAAGGTTGTGGGCTCAAGCCCCACATTGTGTCTTTGAACTCATAGTCTAGACTGACACTCCAATGCAGTGCTTAGTGTCCGTCCTCCAGAAAAGAAGTTAAACACAGACCCTGTCTATCTGTTCAGCTGGACATTAAAGACTACATAACACTATCTGAAAAGAGAAGGGAGTTTCTCTCAATGTCATAGACAACAAAGAGTTAAATTAATCACTTAAATAAGCAGTAAAAAAAGGTTATATAAAGAAAATTACTTTCTTCTTCAATGTTCATATTCAACTTCACTGTAAACCTGACTTCATGATGAACAAGTTTCCCAATTCAAATAATCACGAATAGGATGCCTTAATCCAGAGCAACAGAGACAGTTAGGTGTTGAACCAGCCAAATTTTAATTGAAATTCTTTTACTAAGAGTAAATAGTGAATAGAAACATTTTTCTACTGTAACTTGACACACTAATGGTCAGAGAACTGCAAACAGTCCTCAACTAGTGTCCATAACTTTGCACAGACTAATCTCTAATTTTCCCTGATTTATTTTACAAATACAGTCACTACATTTCACAACAATTACCTACGAAAGAAATGCTTTGAGACATTTCAACATTATAGGCACTAAATCAAATGCAAGGATTATTATTTTTATTCAGCTTTGCAGAGGTGGAGCATGGCTCCATAGTCCCATCTCTGAAACTAGAGCTGATCCTAAAGTGCCATTAGGCAGCAATGCTGCATCAGAGAGAGGTGCTTTAAACACATCTAATGCTCTGCTTGCTTTAAATAGCTTTTGCAATAGATTCTTACTATTGAATAGACTTAGTTGAATGGAGCCGAATGGTAGTGCTTTATACATTATTGTAACCTGATGGAAACCTGCTATTAGAGTTATTATTAATTGCTTTGGATCTCGGCCACACACGGCATGCTGTTGTCAACCGGTATCACTGCACACGATTTTGATAGTGTTTGTCTTAAGAGAAGCTGTTGGATAAAGGGCAGGTTGATTAGTGGGGAAAACAAACTGAAAGAATGCAAAATGTCGCCAGCCATGTGGTGAAAATATGTATGGCTCTGTGAGCTTGCTCTCCCCTCCACAGCTACACACACACACACACACACACATACACAGCTGCACCATACGGTGAGGAATCATTGACGAATAAACTACAAAACTTAAAAATGGGTCAAGTTTAAACAGGGTCAAGTTTTAAAGACCAAAAATGGTCATCTTTGCTGCACAAAATCAAGCAAATTGAATGTACGTAGGAACATGTAAGTGCTTTGGGACGTCCTCTTGAAATGAAAGGCACTTTAGAAATGTAAATTGTATTGTAAATTGCACTGTAATATGTGGGAGCAGAAAACCGATTAGTAGTCTCAAAATAAAAATAAATAAATAATCTTAAACTACTCATACACCTCAATCAATTTCTTCATCTCATTCCCCCTTGACTGAACCTGCCTGGACTGACTGAACCATTATGAAGTCCTCCAACCTATTCCCCTCCTACTCGACCTTCAAAATCTGCCTTTGGTCAGGTTTTTGGTCACTTTCCCTCCTCACTCCCCTACCCCCTTCACCTTCCTCAGTCTCCCCATTCCCATCTGGGTTCCCATTCAGCCCTGTGAAGCACTTTGAGATATCCTCCAATGTCCAAGGTTCTATATCAATGTAAAATTGTTGGTGTTGCCTCTAGTGCCTCCCTACGTAGTCTATTCCAAATATTCACCATTTTTCTGAACAAAGCAATTAAATCTGAAAAGTCTGACTTTGTTTGTGTCATCCTGCTCCAGATTTGTTTTAGCATTATTTTATCCATTAAACATTATTTAGGTTTAGTTTATTTATATACTTTAGGATCTTTTAGCTCAAAATTCTTCCTAATTTTAGCCTGCCAGATCAAAAGTTTAGTTTGCACAACATTGAAAAAAACTCTTAAATACAATAGTCAATATTGTGTATTATATTAACATATGCTAGAGATGATATATGATAGGTTGAACCACTTGAAAACAATACTCTCACTGGCAGCAGTCACTAAAAATACACATCAATAGAATAGTAAATCTGCGAAAGTTCCTTGAAGGTGTTTCATTATCTTCATCTGGAACAACTAAGGGATGATCTTTTATGTGTAATGCCTTTCCAACAAAGTCAAAACGGTAAATCCAAGTGTCGCTAAAGTACAGACTGCATATGTGTAAAGCAGATCTAACTCATTTAATAGATAATATGATGTGTTGGAAGAAATTCCACTTGGGCCTAGATTTATATTGCATTTTTATCANTTTTTAAAATTCAGTCTTGATTTTGAAGTTAGTTTTCTATAGTTCTTAAACGTGCTTACAGAAAATTGGCATCAAAATTAAGTCTGTATTTAAGAATTTGCCAAATTCTGTATGCTCCGAAATGCTACATAAATAAAATAAATCTAGACCCAGGTGGAAGTTCCCACCTCTGTGGATCCACTGTGTAAAGTGATCCGGGTCTGGAGTTCTGGTGTGTGCTGTGTTGGCGTGAGGCAGCCCAGTTCCCCCATGTGCACCTGGCGACTTGGAAGTGTTAATTTCTCAGATTTGCTGATAATGATCAGCACACCAGCACATGGGACTACACCATCCCGTTCAGGAGTTCAGACTGGCAGGCGGCACGTCACTGCCCGCTCAGCCTTGCAATCCTCTCATACTTGTGCTACGAAATAAAATTTCTCTCCTCCTCTATCGGCCTTAAGATCTTCATGTGCTGCACATTTGTCACTGCTTTCACCTTCAAATGACAGAGGATGTCTGCACTCAGGGGTTGTCTAAATTTAACATGGAAGGAATGAGTGCCAGAATGATTTGCTGACCCAGTCTTCTGAAGAAAATGCCTTTTCCACTGTCAGGGTTAGTTATCTCATCTCACTCTGTGCCTTATAGCAGCTCATACCTTGTCAATGATACCAGATCAACTTACACTTTTATTTGCCATAAAACTGAGTACTGGTCTCACTAAAGATTATATCTTTAGTGAGACCTGGAGTCCTGTAGCTTAATAATAATAATAATCCTTACACTTGATATAATGACTTATGATGTTTTGGAAAAGTCTCAAAACGCTTCACAGAATTTATTGTAAAGTGAATTGACTGTATATTTTGTGGGCAGCCAATTGCAGTGTCCCACAAACAGTCATGTTTGTGACATGAGTGACCAAATTACTGTTTTTGTTGCTTTTTTTTCCCACATGCTATCTCCTCCTGTGTTTATGTTTGTTTGGCGAGGCTGGCTGCTCATACACTCAGATGATGAACAACATCAACAACAACTTGCATTTATATAACATGCCCCCCCACCCTCCCCATGCAGTGTTGTGTCTCAGAGCAAGTAAAGGCATTCAGTGCTGAGTTTGGGAAGTGGGAAGGGACAATAGTAAATCTTCGTGGCCATTACTCTACAGCTTGCGTCGATGACCTGATGTTGAAAACTCTAATTTAGTTCTGTGTTTCAATACCATGATACTATTATTTGACAAAGAAATCTGATGGTGCAGTTGCTCAGCAAAGCTCACAACCATGACCCTCAAATCTAATCTGTATTGAACTGATCCAAAGTAGTGTGAAGAATAAATAGGTTGATCTTTATCAAGAAGGATCCTGGAAACCAGAACATTGGACTCTTTTAAAAAAAGTTTGGCGCTATAATAGGAAAACCATAAGATTAAGATCAAATGGACCAAAGGGCCTTCTTCATCCAAACTACTCTGATGTGACCCTATGCTAAGTTTCCAATGATTGCAGTTTGTGCAATGGTATTGAATAATTCTGAGCTTATTCACTGATTAGTACCCTAACTCAGTTTCACCTTGGCTTCCAATAAGCTTAGAAAGATCATTTTCAATGAGCTTAAAAAATGTTCCCTCAAAACTGGAATTCAAGATGATGACATCCAGTGCTTTTTAGTTGGATTTGGATGCAATCACTTATCTGAGAAATGGGGAGAGATGGGGAGAGGGGTATTCAAAACACATTTGAACCATTCCAAATATATTAAGGTATACTATTTTCATCACTGATTAAAGACTGGTTAATGGGTGTGAACCCGCTCCTCCCCTTCCCTTGATTTTAACAGTTTGCATTTATATAGTCGTTTTAACACAGAACCAACATCTCAAAGCACCTCACAAAGATAGAGTGAGAGCCTAAGCAGGTGGTAGATAGAGGGAGGGAGTAAGAGGGAGATGGCCAAAGGCCTAATCAACGGTTTTCAGTCCAGCGGTTGCATATGATTCTGGATGAAGTGATTATTAGACATGCAGTTATTGAAAGTCTACTTTTTATTGCCAGTAAAACTTTGTAGAAACATATTTACACATTTAAACAATTTAAAGAAGTACAGGTTTACAATATCTTGACATAACTATGCATGTACATAAGGCTTGATAATTTAAACATACATCTCCATTGTTAAGGTAACAAAAGACAAGTAGAACATTTGGCACTTATTGTGTAGCACAGTGCAGAAAGAGTGATGAGGGTTTGGTTCTTACATTTTCAATCTAATTATGTTTCCTATGAACACGAACACAGTCTAACCAAGGTAAAGAAACAGAATATTTTATATGTTGCTTTTATGTTCATCGTCATTATTCTCAATAAGACATTTTAATTTGGAAAAATGCTTCTGTGACCATCATTTAATATAAGGTGTCCTTCTCTGAAAGCAAGTCTTATCAAATTCAAAGTGGTTTGCAAAAAAGATCCCAATGTTACTTGGAAAAACACACACACCTTCCCAGTTGGGAGTTACTGTACAGATGTATTCTCATTTTATATTGTCAATTATCGTGTATCACGACAATTTCAAGTGCTTCTGCTTGTAATAAGAGTTAGTACATTTCTAGGCACACAAGGTTCTCTGTTCACTGAGATGATTTGCTTTGTCTGAAATTGCTTTCTTTTCCAGAAATATGGTCTGACTTGTTGAGATCTTGTGGAACACCTCATTTCAGCAGATCAGGCAAATGCTTCCTGAGTAGAGGGCTATTGTCAGCATCAGAGAAGCAGTCATCCAGATGGCAGTGATCAGGAATTAAGATGTTTACATGTGAATATATTCCAGATGTAGTTTCTAAATGGCATTTCTTGTTTTTTTATATTAATGCATGTATCAAGATTGTCTGACTCATGTATCCCTTTTATCCATCCGGGAGAACATTATATGTAAACATTCTTTATACGTGCTGGATCCCTAAGCGTATGGCTACATTTTAAGGCACTAGATGAGAACTGTGGCTTCAAATTATTGAATGTGAAACATGCTACACACCATATGCAGTCCTCAATTGTGCTCCCATATAAAATCCTATATAAATCTTAAGACATTAGAAAATCCTGGTTTGATTCAATTTAGTAGCTATTATTACTAAGTGCTATTGTTTCCCAAAGTCTATGCTGAAAACATAACAGACTGAACAGAAATACTAGCACTTTGAGATAGATTTGTCTGTATTCCACAACTATCTGTAAAGGAAATTAAATGCATTTGTTGCAGTTGTGTTGCCAGATATAATATAAAGATGTTCATTTCATCCCTATTATTTTTAAAATTATGTTATGTTTAAATTTCAACTGTTGTGTATTAAACAGACTGTAGGGCAAGAAATACTGGTTATGTTTGTGAGTATTCTTGATGCCATCATGCTGTCACTCATTTGATAAATTAGATCCTATTGAAGTACTCTAGTAAAGTATGTTTGCTGGATGGCTAGTTTGGAACAAACACATGTGTAATTTAATTAAGAAAATCATGAGAAGGGGAATAAATGTATGTAAGCTTGTGCTCCTGGTAGCTATCCAGTGATGTATACTGGAAAGTGTAAACAGTATCTACATGGAGATGGTTCAGAAACAAATGCTAATATGCGGTGAAAAGCCCAAAGATGTTCCAGTCTCTGATAATTTCAACCTTTACCATAACTGCACCTCAATTGAATAACATACTGGGTAAATGTGAACATGTTGATAAATGGATAAAACAAGAATGTTTTGCATTAGTTCAGTAATTAGGAGCCCAAACTTTGCCTCAACCTTGACTATTAAACCATGTGTGCTGCAATCTGAGATGGTGAAGCTGTTAAGCTCCCTAATGATCGTGTGTCAAACATGCTTTGCTGGCTGCCATTAAGCATATGCATCCCCTCCACACCGGGCAAGAGCTGTCGATCAGTCATGGTACCACTGGGCGATGAACCTAAGAAACCTCCTTGGGAAGCAACTATTTTTTCAGGGCTCGCTGCCAGTCTGGGAGAAGTAGAGAAATTATATCCATATAAACTGTATGGGCTGTGCAGTCTGAAGGTACTATAGGACCCCTGATGGGTCTGATTGGCAGTGAAGGCATTGCTAGATGGAGAAGGCATGATGTACTGAAGCTGGGGAGATGACATCCCGGAGATTGGTACTGGCAACCCAGTCTGATGGCAGTTAAATGCTTCTCCTTCACCTCCTGATAATGACATGTTCACACTTGCCGTGTTAGCTACTCCAATGTAGGAAGGGGTCCTCTGGGACACAAAGGGTTCACTGCCAGGATTTGTCAGCCGGTTGTAAGTTTCAGCGAGACTGCTACTATATCTGTTGAGGGCCAGTCCCGTGCGGTTGCAGGCTGTGAAGTCTGCTGGGCTGAGGTTGCAGAGCTGGCTGGCATTTGGTGCAAGGTGGAAAGCTGGAGAAGAGCAGGAGGAGGCAGGCAGGAGGTGAGATGGTGCAACATTCCCTGCACTTTGATGGAGAGAAGAGACTGATGTGCCACCTGAAAATAACAAAAACATGAGCATTAGAGTTATAGTTTCTGAGTAAAGTTAATCGTAGTAAATGCAATTATTCAGCTGACTGTATGTATTATATTCAACAACAAAAGTTTCATGCATTGTCTGACTAAATAACATCTGAATATCTTGCTGTTAAAATAAATGTGTTTGCATCAAATTTTCCTTGCAAATGGTATTGCTGCATTTCTTCACTTCCCTTGATTTTATACTCAAAAATTGAATCTGCATAACGGAGCCTTGAATATCATCCATAATGATGGAACTTCCTGGTGGATAATTAACAGAGGAGCATATACCGATCGATCCCCGACTTACCTGAGACCATCATCAGGCAGATCTTTGCCCCTGCACTCCGCACTCTGTACACAAAAACAGCTTATCACACAATTCATAGGATCTTTCAAGTACTAAAAAATGGTATCCAGTGTGTTCCTGCTGGTGCTAGCTCCCCCACTAGAGCTATCAACTCCAAATGTACACCATGCTATTTCAGATTATATTTCTCAGGTGTTTATCAAACTCCCTTTTGAATGCTGTTTGGACTTGGCTTCAGCTGCTATTTGTGTTAAGGAATTCCACATACTAACAACCTTCCTTTGTTTGGAAGGCGTTCTGTGTTTCAACAACAATTTATTACTACTGACTGCTACTGGAGAACAATTTATTGCTATTGTTACTGGATACCAACAATTTATTACTACTGAGTGTTACCAGAGAACAACAATTTATTATTATGTTACGTATCCTTGTACAACAGATTATGTACTATTGACACAAATGATGGTGGATCATCAAAAAGACAAATAATCAAGATTTTAAGGGTGCTAGTGTGTAATGGAGCACCAACAAAAGGTGCCACAGAATGATGGTACATAGGAACACCTAATCTACTGAAGCACAGCTTTGATTCATGCACACTAACTCCCACAGAAAGGCAGAAGTATGGGAAAAATGCAAAAGAATGGAAGTGAGCAGATAACTCTTTCAGAGAGCTGGCACAGACATGGTGGGCAAAATGGCCTTCTTCTGTGGCTGTGAATTTCTATGGTTCTATGGAAAGGGAGTGCACCTCTCAGCAGCCAACTGCGAGAAACATTGATTTCTTTGCCATCTGCTGTATAGAACCACAGTCGGTGCTTAGTCCAAGCAAAGAACAAAATAAAGGCAGAAATAAAACTCATTTTGTAGAGATCTACAGAATGCAACCAGTCTAACCTACATCTATAATAAAACACAAACTTTACTTACTTACTGACTGACTGACTGACTGTAGGAATTTCACTCTTTTAACGGAGCACCTTTGGTGAATTTAGGTATAACTCTTAAACTATAAATTTCAATGAAATTTCAATTATACGAGTTTGTTACATTACTGTGCAGCTGGAACAGGGCACATAAAGCATGCATTTAACAAGCACTAGAAAGCACTGAAGTTCATGTGGTTCACGGTTAATTTAACTAATCGATGGTTCATTCATATCCTGTCAGAAAATTACTATTTCAGAAAGAATACAAATGTATTTCATTTAGAAAAACCTAAAATGAAACTTACTATTTTCCTATATATATCAAATGCAAGGATTAATATTATTATTATTATTATTCCTTTTCTCTAGATTCTCTCAGGCAACGTTCCATTTTCCTTGATCTCTCCAGGCAATTCTCCCTATCTCTAGGTCTATCCAGGCAGTGCTTCCTCCAACAAAATAAATGCTTCTTGATTGAATATTTCTTGATATAGGGCATAAGTCTATGCTATTTTGTGATTTCTATGAAAAAAGGTCGGCCACCACTGTTTTAGGATAAAACTTGTTTCTCAATGTTAGGCTGGCAAAGGGTAACATATTTTTATTATCAGAGAATTATTAAGGATTAACATACTAGCATTGTCTGCTATAACATAATGTAACCTATTGTTTCAATTTGAATTTTTTTATTGCGTAGACATTACACAGTAACACAATTGGAGACAAAGCAATGAATGACTGAAAAAGCTGCAGCTCTACCTTGTTTGTGGATCCCAGGTATATCTTCAAAGCTGAGAGTCCGTAGAGAGGGTCTCCAAAATGCATAGGATTCCACGATAGCTTCTAACCCCATTCTAAAGCAGGAAAAAGGACACCGTATAAATGATACATGCACCTGGTGCTCTCATTCATTTACTATACAATTCAGGACATTCAGTTATTCAAAATTATAATAATAAAGTATTAAAAAGAATAAATCAATAAGAGCGAGTAAACTACACTGATCTATACTACAAAGCATCCAATCGCACAGTGTCAGATTCTCCACCATATGGCTAGGAGCATAATACTAATTTGAAAACACTTTGGATTGGACAAATGATGGTATAAATTTAAATGGTGCTAGATTGAGAAGTAAAGCATGTAAAGTTTGTGCCAGCCAGTCATGCAACATGGAAATCTCAATCTTTCATTACTGTGGAAATTAATATTCACAGCGTATTCAAATAAAATAACTTCAAATGGGAAATGTTCTATTCAGACATGTTTTATAATTTTAGCAACAAAATATCAAATACAAAGACCAAATCCAGACCAATTAAGCAGAATCGCAATGAGAGGAGAGGATTTATCTGTAGACACAGTCACTACACTTTACTGAAACTCCTGTGAGGAGCTATGCGACATCTTCCCAATACTATATCAAATGGAAGGATTATTTATTTTATTATGATTAAAATGAACGCTGGGACGTCCTCCCAATGTGAAAGGTACTACCAAATGAATGTTAATTTGTATTTTATTGATGGTTTAGCCACTAAGCCCCAAATCTAGTGAACACCCTACCTCAATCTTTCTATCTTGCCAATAGAAAATCACACATACAGACTCTTTGACTGTGCCTTTGGTCACTTCCTCTTTATTTCCAGCTCGGTGTCAAACCACATTGCTGTTTAGCTCGCCAAGACACTACCCATTGCAAGTTGCTGTTGTTGTGAGGACTGAATGACAAGATTGAGTGAATGAGTGTATGTGAGTGCACGAGTAAAACAATCTGTGTAATTTTTATCCCATTCACTATCATATACGGCAAATGGATGAAGAACATATGTAGCATGTGTAGAATAACTTATGTTCCTCAATGAAAGTGATTAAACTCTTAATTTTAAACGTACAATTTTAATGAAGGAGAAAGAGAATATCCTGGTATGGACATAGGTCCACATACAAGTGTATTGCAGACGATGAACAGACAAATCATTATTCAAACTTCCTGCCTCAAACAGATAAACATACAGGTGAACTCATACTTACAGAGCAATACAAACATAACTACACTACTGCTTAAATGCAGAAACACATGCATTTAAACACACACATGCACACACAGGTGCACACATCCACACTGTTTGTAGGTATGTGGGAAAGTATGTAGGAAAGACTCAGAATGTACATACATATGTACACACAAGCAGAGTCAGATAATACATTCATGCAGCGTTAGTTATAATTGCTCAAATATATTTCCAGGTTCCTAGCAAACACTTCACCAAGAATTGTAAGGAATCAGGATCTAATGGAAGAGTTTACCTGAAAAATGTCCTCACTTAAGAAATATTCATAAAGATCAGGTAATGAAAAACATAAAGTTGTGCTTGATGTTGGCCTGCCAAAATTATGTTCAGATATAATTGCTTTCACACTGACTTTATAGGGGGAATCATAGCCATTTTTCAGGAAGCTATAATAAAATATTTATTAGGTAGACTCGGTCTCAAAAATCAGCTTAATTTCCCCCAGTAATAGGAGCTTTGGGGTTCTAGTTAGTGTCGAGATAAAAGTCGCCTCCTGGAGAGATGTAGCCTAGGCGATAATTTATACAAGATGCCTTGAACTTTTCCCGTTTTATCACTTGCCCCGCTTGCTATCAAATAACTCAGTTTGTTTAGCAGAACGAGTCGTCCTTTCCTGTATTTTCTAAGCGGGGTAATTCTTTTTTTGCCTTTAAACTTTATGACCGGTGCAGAAGTCCGCCTCAAAACGCACCATCAGACTTCGCATGTGTTCCTTTGCGGAACAGATCTAATCCAGGCGCAAGGTCGCTGCTCGTCCTAATTGTTTCAATTCGTTTAAACCAAAGGGAAAGTGCAGGCTTGGTTTGAAAGTTCACTTTAATATAATGCAATGAGCTGCAGATTCCTCTCCCCGCCGTGTCTGCAGCTGTGCTGTGAGTTCACTTGCAACGCAAAATGTTATTTCAGTAGTGGGGCAGGAAGGTTTCAAAGGGAAGCGATTTTAGGAAGGAATTTAGTTACCTGTTACGTCCTGAATCCCGGAATCCCTTTGCAAACGGATTTCTGTCAATCTTCAGTCTAGTGATCTGAGATGGGAAATTGAATTGATATTAAAGGATTGTCTTTGGTTAGGAAGCTGGTTCTCTCTACGCTGCCCTGACCTCTCCACATCCGTGTTAGGAAAGTACACTGTCCAGAGAATAAACAATACGGTATAAAAACTTATCCTATACAGTGCACTGATTCTCTCACATAGTTAACAACGTTTACACTCAACTAAAAATAACGTCAAACGCAGTAACGTCAAACCAGCCAAAAAGAGCCAGCAAATGCAATCGGAAATATATCAGAAATCACATGGCAATCTCATGTTAATATGCAAATACATGTTTTAAGATGGATTCAAATGGAGTTGTTCGGCGAGAAGTGGAGTCGGATACAGTGACTTTATTTTGAATGATAAATCGACAGTGAACGGGTTGGATCCAGTGAAAGCTGGTAGTGAGATGTGCTGGGCTGGGCTGTGCTGTGCTGTGCTGGGCAGTGCTCTGCAGTGCTGGGCAGTGCTGTGCTGTGCTGGGCTGGGCTGGGCTGTGCTGTGCTGGGCAGTGCTGTGCTGGACAGTGCTGGGCATTGCTGTGCTGGGCTGTGCTGTGCTCAACTGGGCTGGGCTGTGCTGTGCTGTGCTGGGTTGTGCTGTGCTGTGCTGTGCTGGGCAGTGCTGTGCTGTGCTGTGCTGTGCTGTGCTGGCTGTGCAGTGCTGTGTTGTGCTGGGCTGTGCTGTGCAGTGTTGTGCTGTGCTGGGCTGGGCTGTGCTGTGCTGGGCTGGGCTGTGCTGTGCAGTGTTGTGCTGGGCTGTGCTGTGCTGTGCTGAGCTGGGCTGGGCTGTGCTGTGTTGTGCTGGGCTGTGCTGGGCTGGGGGTTGGTTTACCTGCTGGTTCTGATAGGCGGTCACTGTGGTGAACACCGTCTCGGGAAAACTGAAATGCTTCACCCCTTCTCCTGTCGGGATGGGTTTGACGGGAGACAGCTCCTCTCCACACTCCTTGCGGATGACATGGACTCGGGGCTGGTACTTGTGCATCGAGTGCAGGATGATCTGTGTCAGCAAACCAACAAGTCAATACATTGCGATCACCCGTCTGAAAAAAACCTCCTTCCTCGCCTGCCATTCATTCACCTGAATTGGCGCTGAACCCAACTCATGTCAAGTGGGATAAATTGGAGAATGTAACAGTTAAGGAGACTCCATCCCAAATAAATGTGTGGGTCTCCCCCCCCCCCCCCACCCCCCTCCGCCACCCCTCCAAAAAAAAAACAAGTTCTCGCTACATCTTGCTTAATGTTTGATAATATAAATTTCACAATGTTGCTGTGTTGCAGGTTCATTGCAATGGGCTTCCACTGACACTCGGCCGGGCATGAAAGCGGACAGGATTTGCAACCAGATTGTAACTCAGGCATCTGGCCAACAGAGAGAGCGAGAGTGTGTGTGTGTGTGTGTGCAATGCAGCCTTGCTTCACTCACAGGGCGCCAAGACATGCGCTGGCTTTGCACATTCAAATATAAATTGAAATAATATTAAACCATAACAAGTATTATGGTTGGACCGGCCAGCGCCGTTTCTTGCTGCGGTAAATGCGCTGCGTTTTCAAAAGAGTGTTTTAATAAAACTGTTAAGTGAATCTCTTTTTGTCCCCTCCAGCCTATGATTGCACGTTTAAAATGAAATCCTTATTTTTATTGTATTGTTGCACGTCGGGCTTTATGTGTGTGTTTGTTTCCCCGCCATAATTATACACAATGAGATATAGATATATGACATTTGTACAGGTATACAAATGACACGCAATCGTCTGAATAGCGGACCCTACAGTTGGTCCTCTGGGTTCAGCTATAATTGTAAAACTTCCCGTGTTGTACATATTACTGGGCAAAATGGGACTGTATTACTGAGCCAACCTCCAAACCACCCCAACTACAGATTTGGCGAAAATGTCTCAGTGATCACATCAGCCACGTTTGCAAAGCAATTCTCTGCGGATGGAGAAAACCCACACGGCAGGAAAACAAATGGCCTCTTTGCCTCTTCGTGTGCAATCAAACAATTACAGATAAGGCCCTTATAAACCCATAATATTAGACGAGAGTTATGTTTGGATCAGGCTTCTGCTTGGATTGGATCGTGTGTACCATGATTGCATGGTCCTGTAAATGCTCTAAATGCTATACTGCACTTGGATCAGAATTATACTTGGATCAAGAATACGACTTTTGCAGATTTTATCAGATACGAAATGCCACATATAAATCAAACTAATCTGAATTAGTTGGACCAATGCACCCAGAAGTTTTAAAAATGTCCTATTTCAACGGAAATTTTTTAAAAAACGATTGCACTGTAAATTTAATAATAATTCTTGCATTTGATATAGCGCTTTTCACGTCTTCGAGACGTCTCAAAGCGCTTCGCAGAATATACTGGAAAACGAATTGACCGTATGTTTGTGGGTGAAACGCGGCAGCCAATTGCGCACAGTAGTGTCCCACAAACAGTCATGGATTGAAGTGACCAAATTATTATTATTATATATTTTTTGAAGGATTATTAAGAGGTTATTTTCCACCGCAAATCTCGACAATATCACAACAATGTGTGTCCTCTCACCATTCCCATCGTTCTCCCTGATTTGGGAAAGACGGACATTTATAATTGATTTCGGCCGCTCAAAAAAAATTTTTCCGAATAAACAGGTGAATATAATGTAATCCACTTGTTGCAAAAGTGCAAAAACAAATGACTTTTAATTTCCATGTGCATTACTAACCAATGGAAACGAAAATAAATTGCGGCTATTGAAATACCAATCATTTGAAGACAATATATGCGCACAATTAAGATACATTAACGTCTGGGTTATACCCGTTTTTATATCATGTTACTATTAATTACGTGACCACCATCATAATATAGAATAATGTTAATCTGAATTTATATAATTATATTCACTTTTATTATATTAAATATTATTCTTTTAATGTACACGTGTCAGATTAAATCCTTAAGCATTCGTTGTGTGTTTGGTGTTGTTTGGCACAGTTGCTTTCCTCTATTGATGATAGATTTTGTCACCGAAAGCGTTCTGTAATCGATCGTAATTATAGCGTATTTTTCGTTTTAAAAAAGTCCAGTGCTATATTTCTTAATGGCAGATCATCCATTGCATTGCCTAACTGACCCACCCTAACCTCCAGTCAGATCATAGAGCTTAAAGTGTTTTTAAGTGTTTTCGGGCGATGCACAAAAGGCGTCCAGATTTGCAGCGATTTAACAAGTTTCAAGCGCAAAAGAAAAAGGAGTATTCATAACAACTGGATTCAGTGCGTTTGGAATTGGCCGACACGTTGTGAAATAGAGCGGATATCTATCTAATCGCCTTCACTTCAAGACGAGGGTGAGACTGGTTCCTGGCACTCACATGTCCCTGGTCATCCAGCTCGTTGTTGGTGAGTTTGAGTTTGTCGAAGCTGATGACCTGTCGCATCCAGGTATCTCCCGAGGCCGGAGAGTCCGGGTGGATGTAAACCCGAGGAGGGACGGGAGAGTCCGCATTACCAGCCACCATCCACTTGGAGCTGTGGTACACATACCTGCAATGCAAAGCACACCCCAGTGAAGCGCCTCACCGCACACACCACCGCAACAGCTCTCGCAGGAGAGACGGAATCCGCTTCAAACCTTATGTGCTTTCGATCTTAAAACAAGTCCCACGTTTCTGATTCAAATCAAAACACACGCCTGAGTAATTCCACTCGACATGTTTTTTCCCCCTCCCACAGACCAACGAAACACCGCAAAACTGATGCACATTTGTTCTACGGTATTTCAGAATTTTTAAAAGCCAATCCTCACTTCAAATTGCTTTCTGTTTTTTTTTTGGGTGGTGTCGAGTTCTGAGATGCGAAAGTGAAATCTGGCGAATTCTTTGTAGTGATTGGCTTTAAGAAAAATACGCCTGTTAAAGAGGTGCGTGTTGCTGCTGTCAAATAACATGCACAGTCGCTGTGGGAGGATGTTATATGTTTGTACTCGTGAAGGTAGACTGTGTTATACACATCGCTCCTGTGAAATATTCAATGTCGGGATATCTGGTGTGTCCGTGACTGTTGGGAGATAATATTGAGCGGCCTTTCACATAGATTGAGGTAAATCACTCATATCGTGGCCTGGACATAGGTAAGATACTGGAAACTGTTAGCGTTGGGATTCTGATCAATGTTGCTGCCGTAAAAGTGACGGGAGATTTCTGCAATGCGATGCAGATTCCCGTGCATTGCAATGCTACAATTAAGAGTCCCGTAAGCAACATAAAAAAATCGTCAAAGCGTGATTGAATTATGCAATACATTCGCCCTTTCTCCTTCTGCTGGGAGCTCACTGGTATTCACACAGGTTTTCGGTAGAGTTGGGCTTCAACACAGACAGAGGCAGGAGCCGATTCTCGGGGCTGTTTGCTCTTTACCTGTACCGCTTGTTATCCACTGGGACAATATCCATCGCTATGTAATACTGCTGGTGGGGATCCAGACCTGTGATTTTCACCCGCATCGCAGGAAACATCCTCCTAAAGCAGAAATATATGACAGCAGAGCTTTGAGCATTAAGCGTTCAAACTGCAGGACAGTTACTCGGTGCTGCGGAACTTCCTCAAACTATTACACATGTGTTGGTATACAATAATCCTTAATAATAATAATAATAATGATGATCCTTGCATTTGATATAGCGCTTTTCACGTCTTCGAGACGTCTCAAATCGCTTCACAGAATATACTGTAAAGTGTAGTGACTGTATATTTTGGGGGTGAAACGCGGCAGCCAATTGCGCACAGCAGTGTCCCACAAACAGTCGTGGATTGAAGTGACCAATTTATTATTTTTTTCTTGAGGGATTATTATCAGGAGTGTGGAGTAAGGAAACTTGCCCAAGGTTTGGCCCTGCCGGGAATCAAACCCAGGTCTCTGGCTTGTCAGGCGAGTGCTCCAACCACTGAGCTACAGGACTCCTGTATCTGTAACCGCCGAATTTGCCTGCAAAATGCACAGTCACTACACTTTAGTGAAGCGCTTTGAGATATCTCGACCAGGTGATATATTGGTATATCAAATGCAAGAATGGTTATTAGTGTTATGTAGAAAAGGAGAAAATGTTTCGTGAAGGGGAGAATAATAGATTACAGCAAACATAATGCTTTATTCTTTAATAATGCTTGATATAGTCAGGGACTATTGCGACTAACCATTGAAAAACATAATGTGGGTCTCGTTTGAAAACATTGGATGCTTATTTGACCTTTTGCTGGACAATTATCAAAATCACAATTCTTTGCTTGGACGGATCTCTAGCGAGGCTTTCGGGGGGAAAAAAACCCAAATCTTTCTTTGCCCAACTACAAGCACTAAATCACAGTGGTTTCGCCACACGAAACTCCACAAAATCAAACCCTTTTAAAAGATTTACAAGCCAAAGCAATGTGGGTTCAATCAAAAAACGGATTTGAAGATATAAATATATATATATAAAATAACAATAATAATCTCCAGTGCCGTATCAACGAGGTACCCAGCGTCAGGCCATGTGGAGCCAAGCGAAACGGGTTTCATTGAAATAATACCAGGCAATCAACCATGGTGTGTGTGACAGACGGGGAGGGGTCTGCTCTCACAGCCCCTGTCTTTAAATCATTCTTCCCTTATCTTTTTTTTATATCTAACATCAATAGATCAGTTTTATGCCTCGCTCGTAAGTGACACACAAAAACAAGTTAATCTCTTCCTGATGGTGTTTTGGGAGCATAGCTCCCCCACCGCTTCCCCCCCCATCCCCCCCCCCCCCCCCCAACCCTCCTCTACTCCCCACTCCACCACCACCACCACCACCACCCTCTCACACAGTGACCTACCTCCCTGCCTTCGTTATGATCATCTCGGTGCCGATATCGTGAAACCTTTTCCACAGATCAGCACCTTGCAGCTCCACGCGAATGTCCTCTCGGGAGCTGTTGTACTTGGAGGGCGCATAGGTCTTGGTGAGTATTGGAGGAGAGGGCATCTCCGAATCGTCTTCTCCGTTAAGCGCTGAGGCACCGGAGGGAGAAAAGCGCACAGTCACTTTCACAGTCACCACAATCCACAGACTCGGGGTGACATTTCAAATGGCACAGATTATCTTTCTCTTAACAAGTCCACAGAGCACCGTGAGAGCCACACGCAATCGCACAGAGAAAGCAGCCCAGAGACATCTAAACGTCATGTACGTTTTTTTTATCTGGAACTTTAAACAGAAACATTACAAGGAACGCTTCTGGTGCTTTGCAAAGTAACGCTCAGCATAGGACTCGAAGAGTTTTTTTGGGGGGAAAAAAAAGCGCCGGCGCGTCCTTGGGGCACGAAATAATAAATATGAACTCACCCGATCTCTCGCTATAGTCAGTCCCACAGCTTTTCTCATCCTCGGAGTTTCTGTCGCTGTTCGGCGCGTTCTCAGTCTGACTCGTTATATCTTTCATCTCAACACCATCCTCGCGGCGCTCATCCAGTTTCCGTTTCTTTTCCGCCCCGATCAGCGCTTCCACGGAAAAGGCATGAGCTTTCAAACTCAGTGTGGACGGCGATCGCCTTTTCTCAGCCATCCCCACAGCAGAGCAGAGCAGCAGAGCCCGGCACAGCTCAGCCCAGCACAGCTCAGCCCAGCACAGCACAGCCCAGCACAGCACAGCACAGCCCAGCACAGCTCAGCTCAGCTCAGCTCAGCCCAGCCCAGCACAGCCCAGCACAGCACAGCACAGCACAGCACTGCTCAGCCCAGCTCAGCTCAGCACAGCACAGCACAGCACAGCACTGCTCAGCTCAGCTCAGCACAGCACAGCACTGCAGCGGACACACAGTGTGTGTTGGTTTGTGCGTGGGAGAGGTGGTGGTGGTGGTGGTTGTTGGTGGTGGTGGGGAGTGGGGGGGTGGGGAGGAGGAAAAGAGACGCGGAACAAAGTTTGCTTTCAATAAGTTTTCCCAAACTCCCAGTAGGAATCCAGTGCGGAGATTATTCCTGAAAGGTTATGAGAGAAAGACTGGGAGGGAAGGAGAGAGAGGGAGAGAGAGGGAGAGAGGGTTCTTTCTGGTCCGATGGGCCAGATGGACTGACATGCATCGGGGACGCTGCGGGTGGACTCTATGAGCACAATTAGGGCTGGTAATTGAATTTTGTTGCCTTGATCTGTCAGCACTTACAAGCAGCAGAGCAGTGGACATACTTCATCCGTCCAACTCCACACGCGTGTCACTTACAGGCAGGCGCGGGCGGGGTCTGCCCGGCACCAGCCCACCAGCCGCCCTGCCCACCAATGGCAGCTTCCACCTCATTAGCATTGCCTGGCCCCATGCACAGCCAGGAGCCCTCGGCGTCAATCAAACCCCCTCTCTCTGCTGCCATCCATCCATTGCCGGGAGTGTGCCATCGTTTCCAAACACTTCAAAACGAACCGATTGTATTTATTATATTCTGTTATTTACCCTCTTCGTTTGTCTGGATGGGAAAGCCGATCACATGATAAACAGCACCTTTCTGAACCAATGCTGAGTTCAACTGTGATCTGGGAAGCTGTGTGTGTGTGTGAAACCAGAGCTAATAAATCCAATACTCAAGATGCTGATTTCTAACTGCGGGAGAAAAAAGCTCCAAATGCATTCAGTCGCTGTGTTTGGCAGAATCACAGTGGTGTGTGCTTTCAAGATCTAAATGAATGTAATTTTGCCTTATGTTGTTATTGTTATTGCTAAATAACTGGAGTTACGGACAATAAGAAAGCGGCTAAATAATAAGTGAGCGGTTTTGCAACGGGTAGCGTTTCTGGCCGAGATTTCACCACAGCAACAACGCAACGGTCTGCTGTGTAACCGTAAATGTGCATTAAGTGACTTGCAATTGCGCTGCGGATAGTGGTCAAATCATAGGCAGGACGACCCGGTGGAATCACCTTCATGGCTCAAAATGTATCAGCAAGTTATAATATACAGCAGTAACACGGAAATAAATGCACAAAATAAATGTCGAGTCGGAATTTATAAATCGCAGTTCGACAATTTAATGCAACGATAATATTACCCACCAGCACACACCGTGAGTGTGAGTACATTCACCTCTAAGTTCGGAAACGGATTTTGGAAGTAAAATCATGTTTTGGTTTAATTGCTTAAATGCAAACCACTAACAATGCGAAGGGTCTGTCAACTGTTCGCTCTGTTGGTTTTCCAGGACGGCAGCTGCTGGCCTCACAATAATCCTAATAATAATAAACCTGGCATTTGATAATGATATCGAATCGAGGCGTCGATACTGAAACCTTTCACAGGATTAATTGCAAAGTGTAATGACTGTAACAAAATGCCATAATTCGTAGGCTGAGCAAAATAATCTGACAGGGGAAAAATGTGCTTGGAAAAAAATCATACCTCACTACATTATAACCTTCCCTTTTATTATCTTTGCCAAGTATCTTAACAGAAGTGTATTTTGTTGGAAATAATTCAATGATTTCAGTAACCTATGTTTCGTGAGGAATCTATGAGTTTTAATGATAACTCGTTTCATCTGAATTCGGGAAGACAAGAATACTGAACAAATTCCCCAAGTTTAAGGCCAGGTCGCCAACAATATATTGACAACCGGTATAACATTCGTTAACACTGCTGTGGATGCAAACATTTTACTTAATTTCCCACTGTTTATTTATCCCACAATGAGTTTAAATTGCAATGATGTATGCAGTAACTAAATCGGGGAAGTTAAGTTAGGTTTTAGTGAATTTGTATTTAATGTTAAATAATTACTATTAATCGGACTATTGCAGGAGGGGACGTGGGCTGTTTCCCTATCAGTAAGTGATCCGGAATAAAGATTAAAATAAATATTCTGAACTCCCAGTCGATGATCACACCAACATACAATGGTTTAACTACCACGAGAGCATGCAGTTTTATTGCATTCATTTTTAGCTTGAAAAACATTAATGAAAAAAAAAGAAAAATAATGAACCTTTATCTCTCGTAGTTTCAGGGCTGATTTTCTGTGTTTTTTTTAAAAAAAAGTTATGTTTTTGGAACATTTCTGCTCGGTTGTAATTTTTTTTCATAATTTTCCTAGGGGTTAATTTCCTGCTCAGCGATTTCCCCTCTGGACGCCAGCGGTCGGCGAAATAATTGGAAGTAGATTGGAAACATTAGATGAAAACCGAGGGACCATTTGCTGACGGGAATTAAACGAGTTGGATCAAGGCTTCCGAACGCGGGTGAAATAGTGAACATGAACAGCTCCAGCTGCTGAGATTTCCCTTCCTTTTGCGCCCACAAATGTCCCTTTTTTTTGCGCTCTTTCCCTCTCTCAGCACCTCTGGTTTCCCCTGAGCCGTCAGCTCAGGCCAGTTCCAGAGTTTCACAGCTCCACCACCGACCTGATCACATTATTCGACACTTCAAATCGACTTTGAACAGCCTGCGCCGAACTGCGACAAACTTTTGTAACTCTATATATAACATATATATATATACACAGTATTTTTTTAAAAAAAAACAGACTTACGTAGGACACATCCCGACAAATACAAACAGAAAGATCAAAAGACGAGCTGGGAAGCGTGGAGACAGATTCACAGAGCATAGAGCCGCAACTACGTTTCAACACCGAATCAATGAGCAGAGATGAATTGGTCGAAGGTTTTATGGATCACACCTTCAGCAACACAGTGACCCATTGCGAATTTCAAGCATCGTCTATTCCCATTACGGAATCTCAGCATCCCCAGATTTCTTTTCTACTCTTTATTATTAGCTGATGGACACCGAATCAACCTCTTCAGCGCAAATGCTCCTTTCAATAAAAGCCGTGTCCTGTTTGCAATCCACCCGAACTGTTCACAATACATTTTTCTGAATTCTTGCAGATCGGCAGAAATATAAGCAGAGCTAAGGGGTAAACGCTTGTTATAATAAGTAGACGAGTGTTCCTATTGCCCCTAACAAGTAATTGCTAGGGTTTTTACTAAGAGAGAAAAGAACTAGGTAAATATGACAATCTTGGAAATGTTCCGTGCATAGTACCTAATTTATTCTGCTTCATTTACTTCGCGCCATCCTCCACACCCTGTAGAGAGTGGTACAGCAATCGTGATATTTTGCTCTTCTCGATTACTGCCAGTTTGTGTTAACCTTGCAGATTTCTTCCCCTTTCAGTGTTTGAAGTTTAGGTCATATGGTTGATGTAACGCAAATAAAGCGAGAATTAAAGATGATGAATAATATTGAACACGACCCACAGCAACCGATTGATTCATTTTTGGAATCAAACCACATTCCCGTTGGATCACTCGCTCAAAACGCAGCACAGCAACACATTGGGATGTGCAACACCCTGCACCCAAACATTTGACCTGCTCAATTCACGGATTGCACTAAATTACTGTCTCCAAAATCTCAACCATCCATGAAAATGCCCGTGTAAAGAGCAACAATATCGAGGAGATCACATTCACAAAAAAAATCAGGTCTCTCCGGAGGGAAAAAAAACTTGCAGACGACTTTTGATGTACTGGACTCGCTTCTGCATAAGCACTTTTGTTCAGCCCCACATTAAAACCACCACTACTAATAATACTTCTTGCATTTGATATAGCGCCTTATCGCCTTCACAGATTCTTTGTCCTGGGATGTGTTTTAGCTTTGAAATGATGTTTTGCCGTTGAGTTAACAGATACTGAGCGGGTCGAGCAAGTTTTGATAATTGAATTAAACGTGGTCACTAAATTTAGTTCTTGTCTCACTTGCCTTGATTGCGTTTCTGCACTGTCCGGTAGATAAATGCAATTCCTTTATTTATTATTTATATTTAAAATAGCCTAAATGTAACATCGAAAATTATAACGCAGTACCTTTTTTTTATTGTTCCTGAGAAATCAGTAACATTTTAAAAAAAAAATCAACGCTGGTTGAAATTAGTCCGCAAATTATTCTATGTTTTGTTGTTCAAATCTGTACTGACAATATTCATAATTTACTCGCACCACTAACAGAATAAATATTGTCAAGCACGATAAATAGCATTAAATATGCAACACCTTACGCACAGATTAACGCCAGTTGCTGGGTCCTTCCGTTTAATATGGGGTAAAAAACTAATGGAGAATTAAGGTTCAACATCATACTCTACATTCTCTTCCCATTTACAGCAATAACTCCCAGTCATTAGCTCCCACACGTTTTTCTCCACGAATTCAAGCCCTTCACTATATCGCTCGTTTCAGTGATCAAAAGGTTTTGGCCGTCACAACGTTTAACAACTTTAATGACTAATATTTTGAAGTGGAATTTAAAATAAAACACCAACCACAGAAGCAATGGGCTTCCCTTAGTTTACAATGTGTGTCGAGAAAGGGCTCACTTGGACGCTGTACAGATGTTAGGAAGAGAAAGAGACAACATTGTGCTATAATCATCACATAAGCGATCAGCTGGAGCGCTATAAACATTTCTATAAAAGTAGATACTGTACTACAAGTTGATGCGCCTTTACATATTAACTGTATCATTATCGATCTCCCAATATTTTTTTCCCAAAAAACTCGTAATATTCTAACAAAAGAGGAAATTCCGACAAATTCAGGAACGAAAAGCCATGCCAGCACTCAAATTTGTCGGAGTTTGAGCTATTTCAGACAGTTGTTGCACACAGTTTCTGCCCTGGGTGCTGTGTGAGCTTGGCTCATGCACACGGTGCCATCTACTGTTGGCATCCAGACATCCATCCCTGCAAAGTTACGGCGATATGTTGAAGGCGCTGAGGAGAAACACGTTTTCTTCAGAAGCAATTGCCAGTCTTATTAATGTTGCCATAACAATTAAACCAATCGTGGGTTATTCTTTAGAAATCCATTCAATGGCATTATTTTGACCAAAATCAGAAGCACTGTAGCAACATTTACGAAAACAAAACTGTACTGAATTCAGAACTTTTCCAATCTGTGCTGACTGCAAAATTACAGAACCACAGTTGTTGGGTTCTTTTAACTCTACAGATGCGACGTGTGTATTGTTAAGTTTCTATTTCATTTCGGAATGGAAATATTGCCAATTTCATTGTGACTAAATTACTGCGGTTTTACTGCAGTTCGACCTCACACCGCTGTTTCCCCTCTTTATAAAAATGATTGATGAAAGGTATACTTTTTTAATTGATGGGGACGCAATAAACTAAAATGCATCTTTAATAGACACAAGATCTCCGACAAGTCAATATTTGCATTTGAATAGTTAATATGATCCCAAACACCGTGACAGCGGCAACACAGAATATTGGACTGACAGCAGATTTCACAGTAAAATACTCAACTAGAACAAAATATGTGTTGCACATTTGAAATTATACATAATAATTCTAAAACTATGCATAAGATTTTTTTCCCTTCCAGTTGTAGTTTTTCAAGCATTTGTGGCAATTGGGGTGAAATTTAGTTTCAGACTGTCCGATTTATAATCACACTGTCGCTAGGTTAAACTTGATGATATTTTTATTTAAAATAAAGACCCTGAGAAATAGTAGCAGACAAACAAGTAATACTTTGGGTGACATTGGTATGACATTGGAAGATAGCGTAAAAACTCATCTGCCGATTTTATAATGATAATTTTGCTCCACAATTTGCATAATTTACTATCTAAACCTGTTCTATATAATACATATTATGTATATAATAGATATTATGTAACACACAAAATATAATATCGACAGTAACTAATGTAAAGTGATGCAAAAAAACATTTCCACAAACCACCTCCGTTGTTTAAGAGGCAACTGCATTTGTATAAATGTACAAATAAGCAGCGCCAGCGTTAGCGGCTCAGTGCTGTGCAGTGCTGTGTGGTCCTGTGCTGTGTTGTGCAGTGCTGTGCGGTGCAGTGCTGTGCAGTCCTGTGCTGTGTTGTGCAGTGCTGTGTGGTGCTGTGTAGTCCTATGCTGTGTTGTGCAGTGCTGTGTGGTGCTGTGTAGTCCTGTGCTGTGTTGTGCAGTGCTGTGTAGTGCTGTGTAGTCCTGCGTTGTGTTGTGCAGTGCTGTGTGGTGCTGTGTAGTCCTGTGCTGTGTTGTGCAGTGCTGTGTGGTGCTGTGTAGTCCTGTGCTGTGTTGTGCAGTGCTGTGTGGTGCTGTGTACTCCTGTGCTGTGTTGTGCAGTGCTGTGTGGTGCTGTGTAGTCCTGTGCTGTGTTGTGCAGTGCTGTGTGGTGCTGTGTAGTCCTGTGCTGTGTTGTGCAGTGCTGTGTGGTGCTGTGTAGTCCTGTGCTGTGTTGTGCAATGCTATGCCGAGTTCATTGTAATTATGAGTTCAGTTAAGTGTAATCCTATCAGATAAATGACCATAGGTTTCCAAGTTCAGCTGAATGTATTAATGTGACATTCATTTGATGTGAACTTCAGGTTCCTAAATACTGCATTGAAACGTTTTCTGTATAGGAAAAGCGTTTCAGTTTTAGTATTATATATCGCTAAAATTAGATGGTCGTTTTCCTCATTTTGAAAACATATGAAGAAACTGAAGGTTTCAATTTCCGAGTCTTTGGTAAAATTGAAAAAAAACACAGAAATTTTACTAATTTGCAGAAGCTCAATTCGGATTGAAAGATAAAAATAGGTTAAAATCGCTGCAATCGAAACATTAAACTTTGTTATCTTTTTAAGATATTGATCCGAATTTACAGCATTTTCTGTGTATCTTGCTATTTATTTTTGTTTTGTTTCCCATACAGCCATTGGCAGCCCATATATTTAACATTTTCACCAAAACAACACAAATATTTAGTCCATTGCTTGTGAATTCATATAAATAGAGCGACACCAGCATTATGATATATTCACATACACTGAAGTGAACTGAATGAATTAATATTTTAACAGCTTACACTTTCCAGCTGAGAATGTCAGTACATTCATGAATACATTTGAAGGTTTAACTGAATTGGGATACTGTCAATGTCAGTACAACCTATAACGGGAGTCGGATTGAACAGACAAACCCCACCACGTATATTTGATGATTATTATTATTTAATTTGGCGGCAAAGTTTATTGGTTTCATCCACGAATTAGTCGCTTATTTGTGAAGGGGGTAATAATTTAGTGAAGAATAAAAAGGATCAGGTAAGAGAAGGTTTATTATATCAGAGATTATAATCCTTGACCCTAACCTTCTCTTATCGAAAGCCTTTTTATTTTTTGATATAATGATTGCAGAATGAGGTAGTAATAATAATAATAATAACAATAATAAACGCGATAGCAGGAGAGAACATTTACCACTGTCGATTAGACTAGAAGGGAGTAAAGTAATGCACGTGTTACAAAATTTATCAACACGTTAGGAATCGTTGATTGTATTTCCCCCAAAAAAATATGTACGACAATTTTTAACACGGGTATCAAACTTGGTGCACTTTAGTATTGTTTTACACGCAATGTTACCTTGAAGCAGAAGAGCACTGAGCTAATTATTGCTCATTGCTTATTGCAGCTCTCAGGGTTTGTGAAGGGGCTGCAGACAACGCACAGTGTGATATTACAGGACTTTGTGGACCGTACCTCCAAATGGGCAACAGGACTCATAAACGACATCAAGTTCGGATTAAAAGCCTCAGTTATGGCAGTTCCTGAGCTCTCCCGATCCACCAGAGGAACGGGAGACACTTTGTGAGGAAACCGGGCTGCAAAACCAAGCGATGGAGAGAGAGAGAGAGAGAGAGAGACTGCAGATACCATCAACATCTTTATTTGACACACGGTTTGTGATAACGTTATTTTCTTTAGTAATTTGCATTAGTAGTTCCCGATTTTCGTTGTAATGCTTTTAATTTAAAGCGGTAATCAGACTTAGATGGGTTGATCTTGTCCCCTAGATAGTGGATGGTTTGTCAGTGTGTTTATTTCCAGGAATGTTTGTTGAAACAATTTAGGTAAAAGAACTAATACTCTTCCTGCACCCCCCCCCCCCCCCCCCCCCACCCCCTCACATACAAACACATACCCATGACATGTTCTTTGGCATATACGGCACTATATTCATGTTGTTGGCAGGTTAGTAACATTTTTATACATATTGAAGTGAAAAATGAAAACCATAAATCAAAATTGAATTCAGCCGAATGAATCATCCTCGGTTGAGACATTGCTGTCAGGGCAACAGAGCGTTTGACTGGGTTCATCTCCACTTGTTTGCCAAATATCCTATATACCATAACAAATTTTAGAGCTGAACCGTATTGCACAGTGGGAGTGTTCCTCGGCTGTTTCTGGGCAGTGTGACCGTGACAAACACCACATGAGACACAGCCTTTCTCCCTCACAGATAGGGTGGTTGGCCCACCTTTACGCTAAGTTTAGTTTAACTCTTTGTTGAGACGGCGGGGGTGCCATTAGCAGTGCATTTACAAAGTAAACAAGGCAGCCTCTCCTCACCTCCCCACTGAGCAGTGTGGGAATAACATAGGAACATCAGAACACAAGAACAGGAAAAGGCCATTTGCACTGTCCAATTTGTTCCTCCATTCAATCTAAGACAACTCTCCATTTCCATTGAACCCTTTCCCCCCCCATATCCCATACTTAATAACTATCTGCCACCCACTCTGTGCCCAGAGTTTGCTGAAGCAATCGGTTCCATATTCTCTTGACCATTTGAGTGAAGAGATTTTTCTCTGGACTCCACTTACCTCAGCTTTGCTGCATCCTCAACTCCCACTCACTCAAATGAATGGCACTCCAGCACAG